TGGAGACATGAGGTCATAGAGTCATGAGGTCATAGAGTCATGAGGTCATAGAGTCATGAGGTCATAGAGTCATGAGGTCATAGAGCCATGGAAAGGTTTGGGCTGGAAGGGACCTTAATGCTCATCTCATTCCAACCCCTACCAGGGACAGAAATAATGACACCTTTCACTAGCCCAGGTTGCTCCAAGCCCCATCCAACCTGGCCTTGAACACTTGCAGGGATGGGGCAGCCACCCTCACAGGGAAGAATTTCTTCCCAGTATCCCATCCAACCCTGCCCTCGGGCAGTAGGAAGCTCTTGGCCCATGTCCTGTCACTCAAGGCTGTCTCAGTTTAAGGAGACTGAAGTGTTTTGCTAAGGAGGATGAGTTATGAGGTAGACCAAACTGCTCTCTCTCAGCAATTGTAAATCCAAAATTAAGAGGCTCCAAGCGAGGAAGTATGGAAAAAAGGAAGAAATAACAACCCTTTATTAAAGAATATATGTATATTGGCAAAAACGGCAAAAGAACACAGAAACAACTAAACAATAATCCTGTGCCCAAAAGTCCACTTCAAAAAGGAAACAGTCTGATACTTCTCTGTCCTCTAGTGCGATTCCAGTCACGGGCTCTGTTGGGTCACTGGAGGAGCAGAGCCTGCAGTGCTCAGTGTTGGTTGGCAGGAGGAGCTGTTGGGCTCTGGGTGCCCTGGATCACGGGAGAAGCCAAAAATGGAGATTCCCCCCCTCACACAGGAGGGGAAGGGGAAAAGGGGAAAGAAGGGCGGTTTCTTTCCTATTAAACTCACGCTGTCTGCGGCTGGCTGTAGCCAGGACTCCTCCCTTTGGTTGATGAGCACAAACTCTCCGATGAAAACTGAGCAGATTCTGGCTGGAGGGCAGCCAGATGACCAGGTCAAGAGCAAAACAGCCTCAGAGCTTTTCCAACACACACACAACCCTTGCCCCCGTTAAGGCAGAAAGTGAAGTGCCCCTATCCAAGGAGAGGAGGGGAGAAAAACTCCTCACCCCCCCAGCCTTAGAGAGGGCTGTCAGCCTGGAACGTAGTTCTGCCAGCCAGCTCCTTTGTGTAGGTCAATCACCCAAGGCAGAAAACTGTCCTTCCCATTCAACATCCCTCCCCCACATTGCAGCAGTGGAAAGAAAATCCCCGTTTGTTTTTTTTAGAACAGGTAAACCCATGACAAAGGCCCTTGTCCAGAGTCATTCTCCAGCTCTCTTGGAGCCCCTTTGGTCACTGAAACATGTCCAAAGCTCTTCCAGGAAAGAAGAGAGTCCATTATTATTGTTCATTTATTCCGTTTAAGACTTGAGTTACAGCTAAGTCAGTTCCTCATCCTTCAAGGATCCTCCTCAACCTTTCTCCTCCCTCCTGTCTCTCTGCCACTAGGCTTAGCACACTGTGCCCCAGGGTCAGGACTTGAGGCCAGTACTGGAGGGTGGACAGTGGGTGTTGAAGGGAAGAACTTAATTTTTTTTCTATCACAGTCTTGGGAGACATTGGCAGGAGAAATCATTTCATTGGGTTCTTCATGGATTGTAAAGCTGACATAAAACCTCACTTGGAGCAAGTTGTACAAAGGCTTCACCCACGGAGACTCTTTGCCCTGAAGTCCAGAGGAGAAAGGATTCTATACCTCAACAACCCAATAACTCACACAGGTGCTCACAGGGCTCCTCCTGCACCTCCTCAAAGAGGAACAGAACCCCATTGCTTCAGTGGCTCCAAAGCAGATCTTGGGTTTGCTGTGCAAAAACCACACAGTGACCAAAGTGTGAAGCCCAGGGGAAAAGAGCAGGTTTGGCCATTGTCTCACAGGGACTGAGCTCCACGGTGCCTCTGCCCAGGTGCTGCCCTGGGGATCCCTCGGTTGGTGAGGAATAGACACAAATGAATTTGCATTTCATCTGTGGTTTTGTGGGGGTTCCTGTGTCCTGCCTGGGCCAACTCACACTGACAGTTCAGTGGCACAGCAAAGCCAGGCTTATTCCCTGCTCCACAATGCAAGAAGAAACCAAGAGCTGAGTGCAAGTTGCCTTGTAACAGAACAAGAAACTGTCACAGGTTTCCCAGAGAAAAGTGTGGCTGCCCCATCCCTGCAAGTGTTCAAGGCCAGGTTGGATGGGGCTTGGAGCAACCTGGGATACTGGAAGGTGTCATTATTTTTGTCTCTGGTAGGGGTTGAAATGAGATAAACATTAAGGTCCCTTCCAGCCCAAACCTTTCCATGGCTCTATGAC